TGAGTTTTATATCCCTTACTTGAGAAATGATTGATTCCCCATACAAAGTTCCACCCAACTTTTCATCCCCTTAAGGGCTGATTTCCGGGGTAAAAACTATCCTATGTCCTTTCCAGGGTCTCAAACTATCTCCGTACATTCTATATTCTGTATATTCTGTAAATAACTGTAGCACCTTTTGTATTCAAACTAAAAGATTTAAATTATGCGATGCGACTGCGCATACAGTAGTTTGATGGACGATAGTATGAACTAGACCAGAAACCTTTGTGAGCTTGCTTTTAACAACTCTGGTTGACTGAAAGGAGCCATTAAGAACAAAATAAGATATTACAGATTTAAAATATGCGTAGTAACATTATAATGTAAATAAATAAATAATAATAAATATGTTGGAACATTAACACACAGCGCCATCTAGTTCCCTGGTAAGCTACAAGGCCTGTGTTATGGATACCAGATAGTTGATACACTACACATATACATCATTATAAATATAAGCACCCATGACTGATATACAAACATTCGTGCTCGTCACCCAAATGAATGCCCCGAGCGGGACTCGAACCCACAACCGCTGGCTCAGCAAGTATGGTCATTACAAACTGAGCTAAACATGTCGTCAATCATAGTTAAATATTTAACTCCATTATTGCTTTACTAAAAAAAACTTTTTAACAAAAAAATAAAAACCGACTTCAAACAAAAGCACTAAAAAGTAAAAAATAACTGATTGGTAGTTTTTATTTACTATACATACCTAATCAAATATTTTCGAAGTCGGTGTACTTTGCTTTGTATGGGCTGGCACCGATTCCGAAAATATTTGATTAGGTATGTATTTAATAGGTAGGCTTTGATTACTTGGCCAAAGCACACCGACTTCGAAAATATTTGATTAGGTATGTATAGTAAATGAAAACTACCGATCAGTTATTTTTTACTTTTTAGTGCTTTTGTTTGATGTCGGTTTTTATTTTTTTGTTAAAAAGTTTTTATTTTTCCATTTTTAGTGTACTATTTTTAGTGACAGTAGTAGCAAAGTAAGAATTCTAACGTGTTAGGCTTTTCAAATCAAACAAAATAAGTCCAAACTCAAAGTATCTACTATTAGCCATTGAAAAGTTCCACCTATCCACCTTCTGGCCTTACCATCAGATCAGGTCAACAATACCGAACCAATGTACTATTAACGGAAATAGAAACACTTGCAAAGTTTCAAGTCAATATGACGATTAGAAGTAGGTTAAATACATTATTAACTATTTTTCCACCCTTAGGGGTAGTATTTTTTTTTGAAATTTAAATGGGACCAGTCTGGAAGTATACACTTTCAAACAAAACCAAAATTGTCCAAATCGGTTAATAAATGACGGAGTTCTGAGGTAACAAACATTAAAAAAAACTGTCGAATTGAGGACCTCCTCCTTTTTGAAGTCGGTTGAAAAATATAAATACACAAAAGGCACGTAGTTCGCGAAGGTGGGACACTAGTTTATAGCGACGTCCTTGATCATGAATAAAATATATTTTATAGAAAGCGAAACCTATAGACGAAATTTTGTATAAACAAATTCTTTTCTATACACATCATAAAATAGTAACTTAGCGTTTGTACATGAAATATTTTTTAAAAACAATGTTACATACAGAATATAGATCCCAAAACAATAGTCATTATTATTTTTGTCTGTCTGAACTGAACTGATTTTAACTAATTTTTATTTCATGATAACTTATTACTCGGGCTAACAATTGGGGTACCTTTTACTACAGGAAAATCTTTCATTCCCATGAGAGAAAACACCATGACTGATTCTGTCTAATGGTCCTTAGAAATTTATATGGCTAACGCTGGCTATACCTTAAGAGATACATTAAAATAATTTACTACAAAATTGTAGGTCTTAAAGAGGCCTACATAAAACTCAGAAATATCAAGTATAAGTCTATCTCCTAAGATACACTATACGTACCCAATAATTATTTATGTTTAAAACGTACCTAGAGACGCACCCGACCGAGGCAATGGTACCTAAGTAATCTATACATATAATAAAATTGTAACTAAGCCGAATCTGTACATTAAATATTTTTTGGAAAATCTTATTGAAATAGACATTATTATCGATACAGAGGCCGAATCTATAGGTTTTAGAATTTTTGTCTGTCTGTCTGTCTGTCTGTCTGTCTGTCTGTCTGTCTGTCTGTCTGTCTGTCTGTCTGTCTGTCTGTCTGTCTGTCTGTCTGTCTGTTACCGCATCACGGAAAAACCACTGACGGGATTTTGATGAAATTTGGTATGATGATAGCTGGTTATCCGGGTCAACATATAGGATACTTTTTACCGCGGGAAAATATCTCACTTCTGAGAAAAAATACATAAACTATAATGTAAGAGTATACTAATATGTAAAACCTAACAATTTGGCTTTTGGTCATCTGAACGCGGGCGGAGCCGCGGGTAATGCTATAGTCGCAGAGACTACGTTCTATATACAAACAAACAGATAAAAAATGAACAGACAAACAAATCTTACCCCTTTTTAATCATATACAATAATATCTGATATTTCTATTGTTTCAGAACCATGACATCACAGAAAATAATTATTTTAATGAGCATAACCTTCACGATACTCTTTAGCGTTTGTAATTGTAGCATTATTAATAGTTTAAGTGAAATGTTCAGCTCAGAAAGAAACGGTCAACGAAGTATGGCACATGCTATCACAAAATATTTAGACTATTTATTCCCAAAAGATGACAAGGAGACAAGAATGCTCAAAGAATTATTTGGATACTTTGCCGATGACGATCTGCCAAGTCTGGAGGGGTCCTTAGATGCTATAGATTTACTATTTCATTGATGGAAAGTAGGTAATGAAGTAAGAATTATGTATTATGTATTAAGCCCTTTTTAACGTCCCACTGCTGGGCACGGGCCTTCCTTCAGTACGAGGGGAATCAGGCCATAGTCCACCACGCTGGCCAAGTGCGGTTTGGCAGACTTCACATGTCTTTTGAAAACTTGCTAGATTCTTTCAGACATGCAGGTTTCCTTACGATGTTTTCCTTCGCCGTTAAGACAAGTGGTAATCATGTTGGAGGTGCGAGATCCGGGATTTGAACTCGTTACACTCGGTTTCCCAAGCGAGCGCGTTACCACTGGGCTATCACTGCCCCATTTTTTAGAGTTAAATATCAATGAATACTACTAAATTTCTAAAGGAAATCAGTGTAACACAATATCAACTCTGTAATTATATCCGTAAGCGTTGTGTGAAACAATTTACAAGTTCGCCGTGATATTAATTACTTCACTATATCGCTAATTTAATTATTGTATTTTAAAGAAGTCAGTTTTTTATCTATTTTATAAGTTTTTAATCATTTAATAAATATACCATTACTTGTTATTCAACTGTTTTATTGTTGAGTAAAGTAGAAATTCAAGTGAACAAACAGAACTATATTTTTACATAAAATATTCATAATTTAAAAAAACATGTTTTATTGTATGTAAAAAAATATACAATAATTGTATATATTTATAATATGTATGTATTTAAAGTTTATATATGTGTAGTTTATCAACTATCTGGTATCCAAAACACAAGCCTCGTAGCTTACCATGGAACTAGATGGTGCTGTATGTTAATATTCCAACATACTTATTTATTTATTTATATTTTGCTAAGTGAAAGAAAACAGAAAAATAGTTATCGAGAAAGTTCTGATACCATAAGCTTTAGAGTTTATAACATCGAAACTGGTATTATGAACACTTCGTTTCGTTATTACAAAAAAGGAAACTTTATAAGACGTGCAAGACCGAAGACATATTGAGTGGGTACTGTGCCCCAAATCTCCTTACGGGGAAAGATGAGAATGTCGAGTGACACAGATATTACTATTATTTAAGAAAAATATTTACTAATTTATCTTTCTGTCATATTTTAATCATCGATATACATTTTTTATACTGACTGAGGGCATCGAAAATTCAATGTTTATAAAAGAATATTCACTTACCCCTGCTTCTTTACCTTAGGCTAAAGTACCCTGGATGCTTTATATAAAATAACCTATCTGTTACTCTAAGTCATAGTGTATCTGTATAGTAAATTTCATCCAAATCCGTCCGTTTCAGTGAAAACGTGTAACAAACATATACACATAACATATATGTACATACCCACACACAGAAACTTTTGCATATATAATTGTAGTCTTAAGTCCAAATATCGCTACATAATGTTATACGGGATTTACAATTAACAATGATTTACAATTAAGCAACGGTGTGAAGAAAAACGTAGAAAATTCGTTAAATTACTTTAGTTTTTATATCTATACTTTTCTTTGAGCTAACTAAAACTATTTTTAATTATATAATTTTAAAACTTTTGTCATCTAAAACAATATCAATCAAGTACATATTTTAAATATTTACCGAACATTTCATAAATCCATACTAATATTATAAATGTGAAAGTATGTTTGTTTGTTTGTTCGTCCTTCTTTCACGGCAAAACGGAGAGACGGATTGGCGTGATTTTTTTGTGTGGAGATAGTTGGAGTGCTGAAGGAGATTATCTAATTCCCACGGGAAAACACGTTATATTAAAAAAATATTTATCTTCAGAATTACTTGAAACTTAGTATTAATGCTCTTCAATAAAATTAAATAAATACGTGTTTTTGCACTTTCTGAAATTCATTCTATAAGGGGTTAAAATAGGGGATGGAAGTTTGTATGAAACTACCTTTTTACATATTTTTTTGTAGTTTTATAATGGTATAAACATTAGTATAAAGTTTATAAAATGTTGATATTCTAAAGAAATATGTTGGTATGTTTTTTATAAAAAATATAGTCCATTTACATGCAAACCGTAGATTACTCACTTTTGCTTTCAAACCTCGAAAGGCGCTAATACAAATAACTTTTACTGATACCAGGACAAAAAATAATTAATTGTTACAAATTCCACTCATCGACATATATTATATACCACACATGGTACATCAGTATACTGCGAAGTTAACTGTGGTGATTTAGTAGTTTCAGGAGCATAAAGTTTTTTATAGGAAGAAGAGGTGGTATCAATATTAGTATATTCTTGATCTGAGTCAACGTCATCCGAAACAAGCGGTCTGCGAGAATTTGTGTATGGTGGTTGATGGTACCCGCATTCTAATCTTCCATGTTTGAGCCTGCAACCATTATGTAAATCCACACCATCATCGTTCCCATCTGTCCCAACATTTCTGTTATATCCACACAAAATTCTATCACCCACAGCTCGACAGAATTTACTATCGAAATTATAAGGGCAACATCTTTTAAGATGCCTTTCTGTAACATGATTTTCTGTGGCGCCCAATATTTTCACCAGATGGTTTTTCTGTGTAATTACACTTCCCTGGCATACCAAACGTCCAGAATTTACACTCACTAACATTTTTATTATAAATATCTGTAATTTCAGAAATGTGTGTTATTTTATTAATATTATATAATAGCTAACAAAGAATAAACACATATAAATTAAAAAATACCACTCTCACAAAAACAAAAGTAAAATAACTTGTAAGCATCTCTCTTATCTTAATTGAATAGAAGTAAAAAACAAGTATTTTAATTAACTTGTAAGGTACGGCGACGTACAATGGTAGCAAACAATATACTCGTACATCATATTCTTAAAAATATTTTTTTATATTTACACACCTAGTAACCTATTTTCGCTCTTAAATCGGATTTAAACTGTTTTAATTTTGATTGTTTTACAAATGGGTAATGTTCCGTTTTCTGTTGTAATTTATAATAATTTAAAATGTTTGTTAAATCTTTCTGAATATTATTTCTATCTTTTATTAATGGACTCGGTATCGCTGTTAAGAAAAATTTTCCTTTCTTTAAATCATCAGCCATGTTTCTTAATAATTTTAGTTTGGAATCCGTCAGAAAAAAAGTTTTCTTTAGAATATCGCTATCTTGATTCTTTAAAAATTCTAGCTGTTTTTTAGAAATTCTTTTATCTCTTGTGAAAATATTTGCTGTGATACCTTTTAATTTATCTCGGCTTGAATTTCTCTCTTTTTCTTTCAACGACTGATAGCGATTTAATATTTTATTAAGGTCTTCCTTATTAAAGTTATTTATATTTGTTTTATCATTGCTGATAATGATTTTGGAAAAAGAAAATTTTTTAGTCGTATAATCTTCCAACATATTTTTTAAAACTTCTGTCTTTGACTGTGTTAGAGAAAACTTTTTTTTTAAGTTTTTATGATCTTCAAGTAAACTACCTACATATCTTTTACTCTTAGTTTCGTATTTATCTGCCATTTTCCTAAACTTTTCTTTTTCTTTTTCATTTAAATTAAGTTTTGAGTCTTTAGACAATCCAAGAAACAAGTTCCTTTCTCGGAGGTCGGTAACAAACGATTTCATTTTTCCTATAATAGATGAAAGTGAAGAACTGCCAAATTCTCTAACGAGTGCATCCTTTAACTTAACGCTTTTTGTAGATTTCTTCCGATTGTTTTTAAAAAGTGTTACAACTGATGGTTTTTTCTTAGCAACATTAGTAGAACTATCAAAGGAATTTTTGCTACTTTTGATTTTTAAGTTATCTTTAAGACTACCTAAATTGTACCCGGCTATCTCGTAATCATCTAAACGAGGAGCAGGATAACCAAACACAGCTTTTTTAAAACATTGTTTAATTCTTCTACAAAACCATTTGCGTACTCTTCTTTTACATCTTTCACAGCAAGTTCTTTTTTTTACTCCAGTTTTACCTTTTCTTAGTCGCTCTTGCTTTGCTCCTATATAAAGTTAAATAATAATGCATAATGTCTACAGGACCAAAAATAAAAAGGTATTAATTATTTAAATAATATATTATTACTTACTGCGTCGACGCTTGCACATACCTAAAATTAATAATTAATTCCATCAATTAATGTTTTTTTTCTTTTAAGCTATGTATTTTTCAATTTTTATAAAATTATAAACAAACTTTTTACTTTAATCCTTTACTTTGCCATCATATAATAATATAATTATTATATTTGAAAAAATGGATTGGCTAAAACCGTAAAACAACTAATAATTTGTTGTGACATTGTCTTGTCATTAGAACGTTGAAAGAAGTAGGTATCAATTCATTAATATAGAATACCTATATAGTCCAATCAGAATTCGGTTTGGAAACAAAATATTGAAAACCTGAAGTATTATGATTTTAAAATGTTAGCAGGTATATAAGGAATAGGAATTCGTAAAATGCTCCCGATGCCCAGCTACCCCAGAGAAATGAGGGGACGCGAAACGCATGAAAAAAATGTAAAAAATTTACTAAATTTTTTTTACTAATCTTCTATACGTCCTATACGTATTTTTTCCTGAGATAATCGACTTTCAATGAAAATGGATCCTTTTCTTTTTTATCATCAATATCTTAGAATTTAATGGATTCACAGTAGATTAAAAGGTAATTTAAAGGTAGTTTACAAAATTTAAGTCATATTCCTACAAGGATCTATCATAGTTTTTTTTTATTATTTTTGTCCATTTTTACACTTTTTTAAGATTTTTTAACAAAACTATAACTAAATGTTGTAAATATCAACTTATTTTTTTAATTATATTTTTAACTATTGAATAAACAAGATTAGACTATGAATGAATTTCATTCTTTCTGTAATTACCTTAAAACAAAAAAAAAACAGTAGATATATATTATTTTCGCAACACATCATAATATTCTTCTACCTGACTGTACTGCAACAGTAATCAGTGGAGGAAAAATTGTGAAATTTAATCAACAAATTGAATTTCTTTCTTAATTTCAGTACAATGTCAATAGTTCTATCAGTATTTAATTCAGAATACAACGTTTATTTTTTTATTTTCCAGGTATCTTTTGTATTAACAGTATCTTTTATCGATTGTGCACCTAAACTTGGACATATAATGTTCGATCCTCTTTTGTACGAGGCTAATATTACTCCAAGAGATATTATAGAAACAAGTACTTTTAAAAAAGAAATGTTTGATGATGAAGATGATTGGCTAGGAGCCAATCTACGAATGCCAGAAGAAGAAACAACCAAAGTATCTTGCGCAGGTTACGATTTTAACGAAACTTATTGTAAAACTATCAACGATAGAATTGTTTGTGGATATGATAAAAACATAGGAGAGGTTAAAGAAGAAACAATAGATTTAGGCAATGGATGTCGTATTCGTAACGATAGATTGGAGTGTGGTTATTTAATGGGACCATTTGATAATCCAAGACGTCCTCCAGCTGGTAATGATGGTCCTAATTACCTTATTCCTATGTTAATACCGACTACAGCACCAGCTTCGCTCACTAATAAAGAAACTGATTTTTCAATATCCACACAAACACATTTATCATCGAACACAAAGACTCCTGATAAAATTTTACAAAGCTTAACAAGAAGTGGAAAAACCTTAAGTCAAAATTACTCAATATTAAAAACTACTTTGAAAACTCCTCCATATACGACTACACCACCCGCACCCTTAAAGTCGTCAAGTAAAAAATCTAATGCTGATTCCAGAAAACATTGTGTTGAAAAATTAGACAATATATTTTGTTATTATATTAAACGATCCTAATCATTATTGTTATATTTATTACGTATTAAGTATACATTTTATGTATTGTGTGTAACTATTATTAATTTTACGCCCGCTTCTAATTATCATATGAAAATATGGCATCTATTATAAAATATGATATATATGCATATTATATGTATTTCTTCTTCTCTATAATATTTATTTATTTATTTATTTATTTATTTATTTATTTTAGGGAAACAAACAGTACGATATTACATACATAATAAATAATAATAATAATATAAAAATGAATCGCTGAAAGTGTTGGTAAGCGCAAATCTCGAGAGCAGCTGAACCGATTTCGCTAATTCTTTTTTTAGAATATTCCTTGAAGTACGAGGATGGTTCTTACGGAGAGAAAAATTTAAAAAATTGCCTGAAAAAGTCTAAAAACAACACTTTTTTATACTCCCATACAAAAGATTCGTAATAATACTTAAAAGTCAATTTGAACTTTAATACCATAACATAAAGTTTAATGTTAGTGGAGAGGTTCCGGGAAGGCAAAAAAATTGAGTGACGTTAGTATCGTATAAATATTACTGTCAATATTTGTCAATATTTATACGATGGTAACATTACTCAAAAACAAATCTAAACAGATAAATTAAATTGAAGTGTCTGTTTGAAATGTAAAAATAACAGCTTTTTACTAAATTCATATAAATGTATACACGATACATATAACAAAATAATATTTTTTACATTATTAAATAAAACTATCTTTTCGGATTATTTCGCGGATTTATTTTGATTTTTGGTTCCCGACGTTTCGAATGCTTTACAGCATCCATGGTCACGGGAGAGACTGAGGTGTTACATGTCTTAAAGATATAGTTGTTACAGACAGCCTACCCACAATTAACAAAATGAAAATTGCACCAATTACATTACAATATTTTTAACTTTAAACATTTTTTATAATTTTAATTATAATTGAATATGGAAAATTATTTATTTAATTTTTGCTATTATTTTTATAATTATTACAATTTTAAAAATATTAATTAGTAATCTATATTTAGTGTTGCCATTATTATATTTATAACCATAAATAAAAATATAAAAATATAGTATTAATTATTAAAGCCATATAATTGTTCTATGTGTAATTTAAAAAGTTAAAATTTATTACGGATAATCATTTAAATTTAGTTTGCTATTATTTAAAAACAACTTACTAAGCAACACTATTAATATATACTTTTACAAATGAAAAATATTAATCTGATAAGCTGTCATTTTGATCTACACAGTATGAACTTACTACATCTGCCTGTCTGTTATGTTTATACTTATTATTTGATTTTATTATATTAATAACAGGATCCCATGACGATGGTAGTACCCAGCCATCTTCCCTATTGAAATTTGGATGTTTTTTAATTTCTATGGCTTCTCGAATCATTCTAGGGCGATATCGGTTTTCTTTCGCCAGGATTTGAGGTCTATCGAAACGAATATAATGGCTTGGGCGGTCCTGGCTATGTTTGCAGACAGCAGATGTTGTATTGCGACGGTGCTTCACATCAGCTATGTGTTCTTTGACCCGGGTTCTAATGGATCGCTTTGTTTGTCCAATGTAAGAGAGCCCACAATCACAATCAAGCTTGTAGACTCCTGCATCTTGTAGAGGGATGTGGCACTTGACAGGTGGTAAGAACTGACTAATTTTCTTTGGCGGCTTGAAGTAAGTTTTAATTGAAGCTCGCTTTAGAATGTAGCCAATCTTGTCAGTGACTCCTTTCATGTATGGCAAGACTGCAAACATAGCCAGGACCGCCCAAGCCATTATATTCGTTTCGATAGACCTCAAATCCTGGCGAAAGAAAACCGATATCGCCCTAGAATGATTCGAGAAGCCATAGAAATTAAAAAACATCCAAATTTCAATAGGGAAGATGGCTGGGTACTACCATCGTCATGGGATCCTGTTATTAATATAATAAAATCAAATAATAAGTATAAACATAACAGACAGGCAGATGTAGTAAGTTCATACTGTGTAGATCAAAATGACAGCTTATCAGATTAATATTTTTCATTTGTAAAAGTATATATTAATAGTGTTGCTTAGTAAGTTGTTTTTTAAATAATAGCAAACTAAATTTAAATGATTATCCGTAATAAATTTTAACTTTTTAAATTACACATAGAACAATTATATGGCTTTAATAATTAATACTATATTTTTATATTTTTACTTATGGTTATAAATATAATAATGGCAACACTAAATATAGATTACTAATTAATATTTTTAAAATTGTAATAATTATAAATATAATAGCAAAAATTAAATAAATAATTTTCCATATTCAATTATAATTAAAATTATAAAAAATGTTTAAAGTTAAAAATATTGTAATGTAATTGGTGCAATTTTCATTTTGTTAATTGTGGGTAGGCTGTCTGTAACAACTATATCTTTAAGACATGTAACACCTCAGTCTCTCCCGTGACCATGGATGGTGTAAAGCATTCGAAACGTCGGGAACCAAAAATCAAAATAAATCCGCGAAATAATCCGAAAAGATAGTTTTATTTAATAATGTCAAACATTCGCGTAAATCTAAGAAAGTATTATATTTTTTACAATTTTTGTTTGTCTGTCTGTCTGTTTGTTCCGGCTAATCTCTAAAATGGCTAAACCGATTTTGACGGGACTTTCACTGGCAGATAGCTGATGTAATAAGGAGTAACTTAGGTTACTTTTATTTTAGAAAAAAAAATAGGGTCCCCACGAAAAAAATATTAAAACCAATGAAAAATTTAATAATATCCGATTTTAAAATAGGGAAGTTGTATACATACCCCAGGGACGAACCCGAGCGAAGCGAGGGTGAGTCGCTAGTTTAGTATATATTTAAAGATTTAAAGATTTTTATTGAACATAATAACATACATATTAAAAACATTTAGATCGTAAGTAGCTGCATTAGTATAAACTGTGTCGCAGCTATTTACGCCCACCTCGGGACAATAAGGAGAGTTATGTTCTAAGGTTAGTACAAATATATTATTAGGGTGTGTTAACAGAATTAGTTACTATTGTAATGATATTAATTTAGTTTAAGCTTATATTTATAAATTATACGAATTCTTAGGAGATGAAGGTAGAACAATCAGGTTGGTAAGTTTTATAGTAGCGTAAGTACTACACTGTATAATATATACCTGCTTTATGTACGTACAGAACTTATAAATAATAATTCACAAAATTATCTTATAAACATACAATTAACTATGTTCATTAGTTATCGTAAACAAGTGATTCAGTCTCTTTATAATTGAGATTTTGCAAAAACTTAGTTACTTTATTTTTACATTGCCAGTAAGACAGAGGATGGATGTTTATCAATGCATTCAATTTGTTATAGATTTTAGCCGAGAGATAGACATAATGATTTCTAACAAGAGCAATACGAGTAGGTTTCATATTGCAAATGCGGCCAGCCCGTCGGTTTATAGCATTTTTAACAAAAGGTAGCTCAAGGTGTTTGCGTAATACCGTTTTTAAGACAAACAATTGTCTAACCGTTAAGACTTTAGCTATTATATACAATTCAGAAGTAGCAAAACGGATTGGTTTGCAAAGCATAACTTTAAGAACGGCTCTTTGGGCTCTCTCCAAACGGAGGAATCTAGTTTTCCCTGTCCCACCCCAGGCTGATAAACAATAAGTCAGAACAGACTGTGCCAGCGAGAAATATACGATCTTCAGGGTTTGTTGATCAGCAATATTTCTAAGGGTCTTGAAAATATACATTAATTTTCTAATTCGACCGATAGCCGCCTCAACCTGGTCATTCCAAGTCATTAGAGAGTCAATAAGAACGCCAAGATATTTAACACAGGAAGACTGCGTTAGCTCAGTACAGCGGCAAAAATCGTCATTTGGGTTACAATTGTGGGCGTGGATAGACAAAGTAGACGGGGGCAGAGACAAGGCTTTGGGAGCAAAAGCTATGAAAGTCGTTTTGCTAACATTAACTGTCAATAAGTTCTTAGCGAACCATTGCATCACTATCCTTAACGTAGTCTCAGCGAGGAGTCGAGCTTCCTCCCATGTTGGTGCCTCTATGAGAAGGGCAGTGTCATCAGCATAAGCGTAAACTTTAACATTATTGAGAGCTAGATTGCATAAATCATTAACATATATTAGGAATAATGTTGGTCCGAGGACACTACCCTGAGGCACGCCGAACGATAGAGTCACTTCATCACTGATATGATTGCCTATGCGAACTTGCTGTGTGCGATTACTGAGGTAACTTTTAAATATATCAAGTACGAGTCCTCTCACGCCAATACACTCTAGTTTCCCCACGAGAATTGGGACAGAAACAGTGTCAAAAGCTTTGGATAAGTCAAGGAAAATACCAATGGTTTTATGTTTACAGTTAAAATTGTCAATAATAGAATTTGTGAGAGCCAGTACAGCATCCTCTGTAGATTTCCCACTTCGAAAGCCAAATTGATTATCAGAAAGTATCGAATATGCATCAAGGTATTTTATCAAGCGAGAATTTAGAATTTTTTCAAAGATTTTAGAAAGTGTTGTTAAGACGGAAATAGGCCTGTAATTGTTGACACTGTCTCTGTCACCGCTTTTATAAATAGGATGTACAAGGGCCTTCTTGAATACCCGAGGGAATGTCCCCGACGACAAACAGAGATTATAAATGTGTGTCATTATTGGCACAAGAACGGAACGCGCGGCCTTAAGCAGTGACGCTGGTATGCCATCCCACCCCACGGCACAATTTCGTAGTCCCATAGTAATTCGTTCGACTTCCTCATTGTCAGTTTCAATTAACACCATAGAATTTACATGGTTACAATTTTGAGGTGTCGCAAAATGATTAGACTGTCCGGTAAACTGCGCGGCGAGGGTTTTCCCGATATTACTAAAATAATATTATACTGTATGTATATTAGAAAAAAAATTTAAATATTAATTTTGTAAAATAAAATACGGGTATAAGAGG